ACCATTCAGGTTTGCACCATTTCACACCCATTCATCCACAGGAAAACGCCTACCTAAAAGAAGAGTACCAGGGAGACGGCCGCTGGTTTCAGTGCATCAAAGCCTGCTCAAGGAAGGATGGCATTTAGCTGGCAACAGTCATAAAAACATCTGTCATCTGACCAGTAAATGTAAAATAACAAGAAAGGGACAGCAGGGTCTTGAAGCTAATAAGCTCTTACAGAATTGATTAGTGTGAAGTTTGTCTACTGCATTTGACAACATGAAAATTAAAATACATATATTCTGTGGTAATTTGTTTAATAGAAAAACTTCAGAAAACAATCCAAACAGTGAGAAGAAAAAGGCAGTATATAAACAGCGTCCAGAACATGGATTTTAATTCAAAGTATGACCACGGTACCCCATCCAGCACTGAGGGATGACTCAAGCATTACCCAGGAGACGATTCATGCCCATTCACTGACTCATCTGCATAAATAGTTGGGGTGATAATTGCAGTGATGTACCTGCAAGTCACCAGGGAAGCACCAAGGATTCCTCCTGCTTCTCTCTGACACTTCCTATAGCTCTAACAAAGAGGTGGTGACAAATGCCATAACCAATCACTTATTTTCCCTACAGAAGAAAACCCACAGTGATTAACAGAAGAACAGGAACATGAGGGCTGAAACCAAACTCAGGCAGTATGTGAACTGGAGGACTATCGCAGGTAGTCTCCAGCTGCCTCCTGCTCCCCTCTCCATTTCTCCAGCTGCCCTGAACTGCGTGGCTGTATCAAAGCAAGTGCATTTGGTGTTCATCAATATATCCTTGTCCTTGCAACTTCTCTGAAAAGTGAACATAAACACTGCATTTCAAGTCAAAACAGGAAAAAAAAAAAAAAAAAAAAAAAAAACCACCAGAAAAAACACAAAAACAACAAACATTCCTTTCTTCCCTCCCAGATTTCCTATATTAACAATTCAAACTTCTTACCAACTCTGCTCTGCCTTCTGTTCCCTATCAGGATACCTGAAGATTCCAGGATGCTCTATCCCCCAGGGTATTCCTTATCACTGTTTCTCAATCATTTTGTATTGATGGACTACATAACTTTAGGGGGGAAAAAAAAATCTAACTGCTATCACAGTGATTTTTATGTGCAGCTAAGTACAAGCCAGGTTAAACTCTCACCAGTTTTCCCCTCACTTCATATTTCTCCTTCCTTGCCTGTATCAGCATACATGCTTCTGTTTAGGGGTTGGAAGAAGAGCAGTATGAGCGATTTCATTGTGCAGATGTTGCAAATCATCATAGAACCTCTGTGGTGCCTTTCCTCATGCCAGCAGCTCATGGACTTTGTACTCATACAGAGCAGCACTTCCTATCTTTCAGGCTGCACAAAACCCAGTGACAGCCTTGCTGGATTTATCAAGACATATTAAATTATCAGGGCAAGACAATGTTCCCACTGTCATCATGCAGTCCTGCCTGCACGCTATACAAGAAGCTAACAGAGCACGTCAATAGGGATAGGAGGAGAAAGGGACAGAAGACAAACACTTGCTCACCCTGCCCACTAAATCCATCCTAGTTGTACTTTTTTAGACGCTGACTGGAAGGACAGAAGCAGCTCTTCATCTCTGTCTGTGTGCCCAGATAAATCACAGACTGATGTAAACTGATGTTTAACACACTGACTTCCCACCCCACTGCACCTCTCAATGCAGGAGTTCACAGGACATGCACCCATCCAACTTTTCCCCTCCCCAGACACCATATGACAACTTGAAACTGCTTGGCTGGATATATAGTGTGCCCATCCTAAAAAGCAGCATCTATGGAACATGTGGCTGAAAAGAAGCAGTGGACCTCCAGATATGCGTGCATCTACATCACAGGCAATGTTACCATAGGCGTTTTTGTAGTGTAAATAAGGCCACCACCCCACAACAGGGTGCTCAAACTCACCACACTCAGGACTCAGAACACCTAGGAGCTCTCTCAACAGCAGATAGGAAACACTCCCAACAAATCAAACAGGAAGAAAACCCTCAAAACCACAACCTTACATCCCGAGTGCTGCCCTTGCTCAGTCCCACAGGCTGTCCATACATAACCCTGTTTTATCACAAGTCAAAGGGACACTTTCTCTCCACCGGCACAACCTGGGAAACTCAAGTGTGCACCCACTGGGCTAACCCCAAAGAACGTGATACCCAAGAATACCAACAAACAGCACCAATATAGGTCTATTAAGTGCTCTTGCAAATGGTCTGTATTTCCCTGTAGCCACCCCAGAGATGGAGCCTCACACCTTAGCCACAGGCAGCAGCTGAGAACTGAAAGCACCAGCACTGTCCCAGCCATACTATGCAGATACCTATCAGCTCTCTGCTGTCAGTTCTTCCTCCCTGTCTGATTTTATTGTAGTGGTTACCTGACCACGTGAGCTGAACTTCCTGGTCTCTCAGTGCTAATACCTGCACTAACTTTAGCAATTCTGTGTGTTTTTTTCTGCACACTCACCACCCAGAAAGAAGATATATATTTATTTTAAACTTAAGACTTACGAGCAAACTATGGTTTGAATCAATACATTCATTTCCTCCTGCTCTAACGTGCAAGAAAGGAAGGCATAACTTTAGAGCCTGTCCTACCCCTCTCATTCACCATTATGACTAAAACATAACTGAGTTCTCTGGGCTGGATATAAGCGATGTGGAAATAACCTAAAATTAACCTTAAGTGAAACCATGTTCAAGCAGTGCAGCGACGCACATAGCATATGCAGGACAGGTCCTGCTGTTCTGCTAAAAAGACACACAGCAAGCAATTGTGCAAGGTGTAGATCTCAGTACAAATACATCCACCCGAGCATGCATACTTCCATGTCCCTGTGTGCTCAGCAATGAGGGAAGGAAGGCACGCAAGCCTGTGAGTGCAGGTGTACTTTGCTGCTACGTGCAAGGCTCCTCAAGAGACTGCACAGCACTCAGCTGCAAGGCTGAGCCTTCACGCTATGACAGCGGTCCCCAAACGCTTTCAGCTGTACCCCCTTCAGTCCAGCACCAACGCGAGGAGATGCACGACGGCACACCTGCACGCACACCGCGCCGCGTGCGTCTGCAGCACAGGCGTGCAAGGACAAGCCCCGTTCTGCCTCCATTCATTCGCAAGAGCCCAGCTACTCACCCAGCCCTCGAAGCTGTCGCTGGGGCCCGCCGAGCGCAGGAGGTCCTGGAAGTGCAAGGTGCAGTTGGCCACGAAGTCATCGTAGCCTATGGGGGTGTCGTGGAAAACGGACAGCTCGATCTGATGGCCGTCGGTCACCGTGGCGGAGAACTCCTCGTTGTACGTGGGCTTGTTGGTCTTCTGCTTGGTGCTGGTCTGCCCGACGCGCACCTGATCCACGCTGACCGTCACGTAGGGGTCCAGCAGCTGGTAGCCCTTACGGAACAACGAGTGGCGGAGGGACCAGCGGGTGGGCTGCAGCCCCACAGCCTCGCCGATCCGCACCTTCAGGTACCCGTTGAACTTCATGGCTCCGGACATGGCCACCCCCCGGGGGCGCCCAGGAATCCGGAGGACAAGCGGAGCAGCGTCTCGTCCCGTCCCACTTCGCCTGCTCAGGGGGCCGGGCGGCAGCGGAGCAGCTTCCCCCAGGCCATGCCGCGAGCCCGCAGCCCCCGCCCCGCGCACCGCCCACCTCCCGCGGCTGCGGGTGGCCGCTCCGCCCGGCGCGGGGCTCCGCTCGGCTCTGCTCGGCGCGGACACCTGGAGTGTGGGACGGCGGCGGGAGGGGAGGAGCCGGCAGCCCGAGACGGGAGGGCGGGCCCGGGGTGGGAGGGTAAATTCTTCACCGTGAGGGCGGTGAGGCGCTGGAACGGGTTGCTTAGAGAGCTGTGGGTGCCTCATCGCTAGAGGTGCCCAAGGCCATGGATGGGGCCCTGGGCAGCCAGCCTACGGCAGGGGCTGGAAGTAAATATCTTTAAGGTCCCGTCCACACAAAACGGTCCTAAGATTCTATGAAATACTTGCATTTAAGAAGGAAAACATGTATAGCAAATACAAAGAAATGTTGCTTCTGCTAATGTGAAGTTTACAGTTACAACCCGTCTTTTGGAATTAGCAGCGTGTGATTAACATTTTTGGCACTCTGTGTGCAGGGTTTGTTTTGGGGTGGATTTCTTTCTGGTTTCTGCATGCAGTTAATGAAAGTCAGAATTAAATACACTTAATTACGTTCCAAATTTCAGAGCGTGAAGCAGGTTGGGAAACTGCAATATCCTTCCTTCCTCTGCTACTGCACAGTCCAGCCCACCTGCACGATGCTATGAGCAGCATGTGTGGTCACACAACGGTCCCACCTGGCTAAGAATACAAAGCATGGCAATGACCATCCTGCTGGGTCCCACAAGGGTCGTGAACCTCAGGCACTAAATAGACATGGGGGCAACTCTGCAGTGCCCTCAGCTGGGATTTTGCTGAAGGAGATGTGGACCTGTTGGAGCACATCCAGAGGAGGATGACAAAAATGCTTCAAGGGATGGAATACCTGCCTTTGAGGACAGGCTGAGTGAGATGGGGCTGTGCAGCCTGGAGAAGAGAAAGTTCCAGGGTGAGCTGAGAGCAACCCTTCAGTAACTAACAGGGGGCTGTAAGAAAGAAGGGAACAGACTTTTTAGCAGGGGCTGTTTTGATAGGACCAGGGAAATGATTTCAGACTAAAAGAAGGGAGATTTAGACTGGATGTAAGGAAAACATTATTTTATGGTAAGAGTGGTGCAGCGCTGGCACAAGTTGCACAGAGAGATGGTGGTTGTCCCATCCCTGCAGACACCCTAGGTCAGGCTGGATGGGGCTCTGAGCACCTGATGGAGCTGTGGGTGTCCCTGCTCATTGCAAGGTTATTGGACCAGATGGCCTTCAAAGGTCCCTTCCAACTCAACTGATTCTATGATTCTATGAACTGCTTTCCTCGCTTCCCATTGCTCTGACTCCTCCTGGCTGCCCTTTTCCTGTAAATTAACTCCTTCCTCACGGCCACTCTGTGCAACTAAAGCTGCATAACTGCGAAGATAACATTCTTCCCCTTCTACCTTCTCATTATTGCTCCTCTCCCATCTTCCTGCTGTCTTCCATATGCATTTCTTTTCATTTTTATTTTCTTTTACAGTTCCAGACTATTGCTCTCCCCTCAGCTCTTCACCTTTCACATTCTGTGCGAATGATGGTTTCCCACCCTGTTTTTTCCTTGCCCTTTTCTTCTTCCAGACGTCTCATATTTCAGAGGAGACTCCCGTCTCCCTCCTCGGGACAAAGCAGGTGGAACAGGTTCAGTCATGGGATCATTTCTCACATGGAGGCAACAGTTCTGCCGGGAACACTTGCAGATCCTTAAAATCAGACTTCAGACATGTGTCTTTGTGAGGCTTTTAAGTTCCATGATCTATGGCGATTAGCTGAAGATAAGAAGCGTTAAGAATTCTTGAGCTTGGTTGTGTCTAACATAGAAATTGCCAAACTGATGATATCCAAACACTGCATGGCCCAGGAGCTTGCTGTCAGCAGAGGCTGACAGGTGTTCAGTTTCTTGGTATTCGCTGCTACTCTTTTTTCATGACACCATAAAATACAAAGGCTCTTCATTTACCTTCTCAAGAGCATCACTGTTTGTCATGTTGCACTTTCATCTCCCCTATCTTTCTGAGCCAAGATCTGTCTCTTGGAATCCATGAGTCTGGACAGATCCTGTTCTGAGCTGAATGATCAAACCTGAGTTCTTACAGAACTCTCTGTAATGGCTGCAGACAGAATCTAAAGACAGAACTTTAAAGTACACCTAAAGTACAGCCTGAACTTCCACAGAATGAAGCTGAAGATCTTATGAAGGCTGAAGCACCTACTTCCTGAGCTCCAGACCATCAAATCACATGTTTACTGTCACAGCCAGGGAGAAGACTAAAATCTGCTAGATAAATGTTCTGTGCTGTTTCCTTTGCTTAATCACATCAGCTGAAGTTTTCTGTGCACTGCAGTTTAATATATAATAGATGTAGGAAATGGAACATAACTTCTTCTGTACAGTTGTGCGTTGGGCGTTGAATTCTCATGTGATAACATGATCCCTGGAGCTGGATCTTTAAAAAAAAAAGAAAAAAAAGAAAAAAGAAAAGAAAAAAAAAAGAAAAAACTGTGAAACTTATGGAAAAAAAGAGGTGAACTGTGGTGATATGTTGTCCCGATTAGCAGCAGTACCTGTTGCCATCCAGTTTTCCATTGGAGGAAAAATAAATCCTGTGCAATCCTATGATGTGGACCTAATTAATTTTGTTTATCCACTTGAGCCAGGCTGGAACAGATCATCTCAAACATCATCTGAACCCACCCCTGCTCTGAATCCCAAGCCAAAGCCCAAATGCCTGGTTCTCAAAAAGAACTGGCCAGTGACATGAAGGCAGAGCATGCCCTGCCTGCTCTCCAGACATCCAAGCAGCAGAAAAACATCCACAGTTCAGTATTTTCTTCCAAGAATCCCAACGCTCGTGCACACAGTGACCCTGCAAGGCTGAATGCAGCAGCACCATCTGGTGATGGCCGCACTGAACCTCCACGCACAGCTCTCAGTGCCAGGCAGGAGATGAGGTGTCTGCAGAAGCATGAATTCCCTCCTCATCCCTGGCAGGAGCTCGGAAAACTGGCTCCAGGCAGGGCAAGTTGATTCATTTTGTGCCCTAGAAGTGTGCAGGGAGGCTGAGCCCTTCCTGGCTCTTCCTGCCCAGCTGCGTGGTTTCCTGAGCGGTCGGATGATGACACATAGTCGTTCCCAAAAAGGGCTGTGAAGAGTGCACGGATGTCCTGGTGCTGTGCCCGAGCAGCAGGATGGCAGGCAGCATGCAATAACAGCACGCACAGAATAAAGCACAAGCTGAGTAATGGGCAGACGACAGAATAAACAAACAGGGAATGGGCACTCTTAGTAAACTTTCACCACTCCAGAAGATTTTAGAGCAGTAGTGGAAAACCCCTTGGGGAAAAACAAAACAAAACAGAAACAAAAGGAAAAAAAAAAACCAGCTCAGTGCTCACTGATTATCAAAGAGACAAATACTTAGTAATTATTAGAAAAAACTGCAAGCAAAACCACCACGTGGGCACTGTACAAATGACACATCCATACCACTGATACTGAGCACAACTCTGTTTCTCTCAGTCTGAAGAAGTATAAAGTAGAATCTGGAAAGGCACAGAAAAAGATGGCAGAGGTGATCAGAGGCATGAAACGGAGCTGTGGAGGGAGGGAGAGGGACTGGCTGACTTGTGATTTCTCAGTCTGGGAAAGAATGACTGCAGGGGAACATGTTGGAGAGATGTGTACAATCATAAACCATACGAACTGGATGAACGGGGAAGGATTTTTCATTTTCTCCAGCTTAAGATCTAAGGGGCACTTGCTGAAATTATGAGGTAGCAGGTTTAAAATGTACAGAAGCAAACACCTTTTCACACTGTATATAGATCCAGTATAGAATCCATTGCCAAGAATGGAGGCCAGAAACATAAACAGCCTCATAAGGGGGCTAGACATTTATAGAGGATGGAGTCAATGGGGCTACTGACCAGGAGACAAATCCTGGCTCAGGAAGTCCTTTGACCACAAATTGGCAGCTGGGAGACTCCACAGAGCTAGGAACACTGTGTTTCTCTTATTTCTTATCCTTTTGTGCTTCAGCATCTAATTTCTTACTCTGAAGCCTCCGTTACTGGGCACTCTATAGAACAGTACAGCTGAAGTAGGATGGAGGGAATGAGTACTCTTGTTCTGTTGTTCCCCTTGACTGTAATTTCCATATCTCAGTGAGAAAACTCAGGAAGGACACTTCTTGAGACTGGCTTAATCACCACTCCTGCAGACAAGCAAATGGCCGAAGAAGGGACCAGCTCCCTGAGATGACTCTTGCATTCTTCCTTCAGGTCACAGTAACCTTAAGGATAAGTTTATGCAAGCTCTCTCTTGTGATTTTGGTATCCTATCTGGAAAACTTGCAATTTGGCTTTGCAAACAAAGCTGATGATTCAAGTTTATGATTTAGGCCTGGCCTCGTTTCACACTGCAGCTACACACAAATTAAAGCCCATTCATGCATCATGTAAAAACCTCCATTTCCTTTTCCCTAGCAAAATGTGCAGTATTCCCTTCACTAGTAACCTGTAATTCTCTAATAATTTGGTATCATCTCCACCTGGCAAGTCAAGGGCAAATGCTTGGACTACTCCACTTGAAATGTCTAACAAACACTGGTTACATTCAGAAGTGAGTCTGTAAAGTGATGGAAAAACCTTGGCTTTCACAACCACCATAGCAAAAACACTGCTGACATCTCTTGTAAATGGAACTGCAGTTAAATACATTTTAAGAACACCAAAGGAAAAGAGCTGTAGAGGCTTGTGAAGCAGGAACTAACTCTCTTTGGTTCCCCTATTAATTTTAGTCTATTTATACAACTTCTCTTTTATAGTTTTTTTCTTTTTTTTTTTTTTTTCTATAAGAGTGCTTGTTAAACTTCTAAATAATGACAGCTGCTAAAAACTGAATATCCCATCTGTGGAATCATCTGTGGTCTGGGGGAAGAAAAAAAAAACACAGAAAAAAGATCTAATTCCTCTCTAATGATAATAATTATGGGATTGATCCAAAATTCACTGAAGTTAAAAGCAAAGCTGCCACTTATTTAAGTTACATAAGAATCAGCCCTGGTTTGTACGTCTGCTCTTGCTCCTGATTTATACAGTGCAAACTAGGAAGAGAGATTTAGCCTAATATTAGTTTTTCTTATTTAGAATGTATGCTTATTTTCCACTGCTAAATTGGAGCTCACCTGATCCTTTTTCTTTTTTTTTTTAAGCACCAAGTCATTTTATAAAGTGCTGGTATTATAAACTGCAGAATATAGTTTATAAGAGCACCAACTCCTACAAGCCAACCATTAATACAACTAATGGCCTGTCTGTTGTACTAAACTGCTCTCATTTGTCTGGGTCCATTAACAAACGCAGTGGTCATTAACAGTTAACAGCGACTCAGTTATTAGATTTTATTACTTGTACAGGAAACACTGGAGAACAAACGGATTATTTTGGTTTATGGGGGTTTCTTTCTTTCCCAACAGCCTTGCCTTATTACTTATACGTTAGCTACTTGCTTATTCCCAGACGTAACAGACACACTCAGAAATGGGTTCAAGTCATCCATGAAGACAGTCAGTTCACGTGCCAGCCACCCCCAGCCCAACAAACCTCCTTTACACCAGAGCTCCAAGCTATCAGGCTGCAGGGGCTCGTTTTTCTGATGTTTCTATATCTTTCTGTTGGGCAGCAGCTTCCATCTGCTTGTAGAACAAGGGGATTTAAGTAAAAGGTACTTCAGTCTGTATGTAGGAGGCTAGAAAATCATAGAATCATTAAGGCTGGAAAAGACCACTGAGATCATCTAGTCTGACCGTTAAGCCATCCCCATCGCGCCCACTAGACCATGTCATGCAGTGCCACATCTCCACGTTCTGCTTCATTCATGATTACCTCCCTCAGGCTCTCTTTCTGTCTCTCTCTCCCCCTCCTTTCCTAATTCACTGAAATCCAACATGGAAGTTTAACTGCGTATTTTACTTCCTCCTTGTTGAGACTGGTGCATCAAGTAAAGGTCATCTCTTTCTGCCTCATACAGACATTTAGCCCAGACGATTGTAGAGGCCTACAAATTAGCTTTGAGCCACAGTGTTGCTCATGTTTGCACATGAGGAACATTATTCAGTGTTATCAAGATTGGGAAGACCTTCCACATTCTGAACGCTTAAGAACCCTGACATACATCTTACTTGTTCTGCTTTCTTCAGCCTGATTTCAGCTCAGAGCAATGGAAAAAACAGTCCCAGTGTTACACTGCCACAAAGAACCAGCAAAGGCTTGTCATGAAGTGGCTTTCATCAAGCAGCTTTCTTCACCTGTATTGCCATGAGGGAAGAGACACCCGGAGATGTGCTGTTAGTCTTCTTCGGAAACAGGATCTTCCAGACTCCCACCAATCAGACCAGACTGGTGTTGCAAGGAAGCTATCAGTACTGAGATGGAGATACACACAGTGGCTGTGGTTACCTTCTCTGGGAACAGGTATATTTTATGACGTAGAAATAAGTTCTGAGCTATTGGACTTTTTCTACTGCGCTGCGGTTATGAATGGTTATGCACAAGGGCATACCTAGTATGAATTATACTGACTTAGTAAGGGTTTTGGTTAGTCAGAAAGATAGGACCATGATCAACACAGAGGCACAGTGCATCCACAGCACACGTGATCCCAGAAGATGCTACACTGCCTGAAGAAGAAAGCCACACTCTTTCATATAAAGTGGTCTGAGCATATTGCACGGGAGACGCCCTATCTCTTCTCATGTGGCTCATGAAGGAGGCTCTTACTATGGTTTGATTACACGCAAAGCAATCAGAGGTCCATAAGAGAGTGCACATTTGGCCAAATTACATCAGTCCACTGCCACTTGCAAACCCATTTTGATGCAATGGCAAACAAAGAATGCTATACAGCATCTAAAGGAAAAAGATGAGAGATTTTGCGTGGAACAGACTCAAGACACTGCATGGCCATCCCAGGTGATTACAAAGCATTTCTACCACCCCTGGGCAGAGATTAAAGCCTTTTCTCTATCTCATGCCTGTGTTTTGGTGGTATATGCATGGAGAAGTGCAGTGCTGTGGTGTTGGACGCTGAAAGATTCAAGTCAGCTTATCTGCTCCTGCCTATAAATGAGACACTTTGGTTACAGCTTCCCTCCTATCAGCTTCTGATAACAACTTCCTTCCTACCCTCTTTCCCAAGCTAGCACGTGCTAGCAACTTGTGCAACAGAACCAGCTGGGCAAGAAATGTGAACATATTTAAGAAGCCTGAGATATGTACATTATACCACTAAGAAGCTGACTCAGTGGAGAATTGCTAGGAATGGCTCCAGATTGTTGGGCATACATGCATCCTCCTTACCTTGCAGTGACAGGGAGGGGAGAATAAAAAGAGCATCGCTGCCTCTTCCATCTCTCCTCTTTCTTGTCTCTCTGCCTCAAGCTCCTCTGGTAGGAGTGGATTTTAAGTCACCATGCACTTCAAACAGTACTGCTCTTACTGGAGCATTTTTCTTTCCCAAGGAATCTAGGTGTCAGTCAGTAGAAGAGATCCTGTCACAGCCACTGAAGAGCATGTTGTGATTTGTTGGTGCACCCAGCCATAGCACACTGACAGGTTGATCCTTCCATTTTTTGAGTGTTGTTTATTCTCTTCATGCTGTGCTGCTCAGGTCAGAAGCTACTGCCTAGTAGCGAAGTTGCTGAGCCTCAGCTGTATGTGGTAAGAGCTTCACTTTCTGCTTATTTTAAAAGAGAGGAGAGAGGAGAGTCAGGGCAGGGCCTGTTGCTATGACAGTACGTAGCTTTATTTCAGATCTAGGAAACTTAGCCCCAGTGTTCCCAACTGGAGAAGCAAGTCTGAGTCACGGCCACCAAGACTTCATCCCTCAAGTCAATGCATCTTGGATACAGGGCAACGGTTCTGACTTTGGATACTCCTACCATAGCCTCATAGTGCCTACTGCTATGCCACAGAGCAGAGGGACATCTCCAGGGGTCCTTCAGCTGAGGTTTATAAAGTAAAACAGAGAATGGGTAGGTTCTGAGCATTAAGAGTTGATTGGATGTCAGTCATGAAGTAACTAAAAAGCATGAGGGTAAACACCAGGGCATTATAAGGTACTGCTGTAGGACAAACAGAACCTCAGATCTGTAACTGGAGTTGCCGCTGAATCTCCATCACCAACGATGCAAGGTAAAACTTCTGAGCCCACAGTCTGAATGGTACCCACAAGCAGACCTTGTTGAAGCTCTTGTATGCACAGGCAAAAGCATTTCTGTGATATTGACAAGTATCACAAAAGGTCTGTATTACAGAACAGAGAAGTTCTAAGTTACGCTCTTATCTAAGACACAGTGAAAGGGGTTCATAGGTGTGAAATCCTGGGCTTGTGCTCCTAAGGTAACTAGAAGAAACTTTCATGTATATAGCTCTGCCATCCTACTGGAGACTGATACGTGGATGGCAGAGGGAAAAGAAGGGTAGAGTATATCCAGCCTGTGTGCCTCCAGATCACCAGCACAGCCTCCCAGCTGCAGCAGACCTTGTGCAGGTGCCAACATCATGTCTCTGGGAGAGGATTTCTGCCAGATATGGAGAGCTGGGGGTTGTGTTGCTGAGGAGACTCAGGGAAGTTTGGCAGCCAGCTCTGAAGGCTGCCATGTTCTGACCCCCAGGAGACAAAGAGACACCCCATCTGCTTGCACTGAGTGAGAAGTAATCTCTGTGAGAAATCAGCACCAATTGTGCCTAACTGCATGGTTCTCGTGGGAGAGCCTGAAGGAAGTAAAGCAATGATGGACGGTGAGCTCGGTGCACCAAACCACTGCAGTGGGGACAGGAGGTCTGTTTAAGAACTAGCACTCCAAATGCCCCCCAGATGTGTTTATCTAATATGAATGTTGCTCCTTAAGAAGTTGGATGTTTTTCTTTTCCTGAGCAATTTAAATTTGATTATTTTTTTTAAGTCCTCTAAAGACTGAACTATGACCTGCACTAAAACAATACTAGATATTGTTTAGTAGTAAGTAGGCTAAAGAGGAAAGAAAAAAAAATGCATTAAAGTGATGGGACTATAATGAGTACATGCTGCAGACTCATTGTATTAGCTAATAATACCTGAGTCGACTCCTTTAACACTGGCAAAGAATCAAAAAGCCCTCAAGGTTCTTTTGGTCAGGGCTTGGTCTTTCACTTTCCTGCAGTGTCTCTCATTAAATTCCATTTTTTCTCATCACAAATAAATAAATAAATTAAATTCCATCTGCCAAGAACTGCACATTCTTTTCATCATCTCGAGTGCTGAACCCTGTACCACTGAAATGAAAGAGTTCACCAGTAATCTCTATTTATCTGTACATTTTCTTGTGACCACAAGAGCTATTGTCTTTCATACCTATAGAGCAGATGGAAGTTGAAAAGCAAGCAGGAAAGGGTTAGAATGAACAGAGTATACTGAGGTAAATGTACTATAGAGAACATAATGATGAAGAGTGTGCAAAGGAAGAAAGGAACAATTACCTGAACTAGGTGACATGAAAAAGAACCACACAGGAGGTGTTGGGCATTATAAGACTTTAAACTCTATATAAGGCATACAGATTTCTTTCTTCAGTTCATTACAAAGTACTCTCCTCTTAGTTCAGAACCAAACCTCTAAACATCGCCCAGCATATCAATACAGTGCTGTGGCAGGCCTGTACTTCTGGGATATGCTGTGCACAGATGTGTCCCTGTGTTTCTGCTTTCTTCCTTAATGATAGCAAGAAAACATGCTGTGTATGCACTTCTACTGAGATCTCTAAGTCACAAATCTGTGATATGAAGATTCCATCCCAAGTACTCCTTGATATGAATTGTGAGATTCCTAATTGCTTGGAATAATACCTTTGTGGGTGCATACCTACACATAAAAGTTACCTGCATGTCTCCATCCTCTACTCCACAGGAGTTACCACAGTGACACTCTTCCCATCTTTTCCATAAGCTCAGACGTTGGTTCAAATGCAGTCCTCTCTCACACATGGCACTGAGAAATTCCAAGATGTCTGTGAAAACACAGAGAGAAACACTTGAGGAACGGTGGTCAAAAGATTTCTGTCCATCCCATTTCTGCTGGGAAGCCCCAGGCTGTGCACAGATGCTGCAAACTGTACACATGTGGGTGTTCCTCCTGAGTTGCAATTCACTCTGAAATAAGCAGGAAAGAAAACCAGTATCTCAGGATTGCTCTAAAACATCAAGGCCCCAATCCAAAGTTTTAGAATTTATTAAACATTGAGAAACCAAAAGATGCAGCCGCGCTGCTCAAGGGGGAGTACCCCATGCACACAACACTGTCAGCCAGAAGCTGTAAGCAGAGTGAAGAGAACCAGGTTTTTGTCGACTATCCAACGCCTCTAGATGGAGCTACCCCTTCTCTTTTCAAACCAAGCAACAGCTAATGAGGCACCACTAGTCATAAGGCACAGAGGAATGCAATGCTTTGTAAGGGAAGGAAGTTTAGCATTTCCAGCAGTGTACACATCTTTTTGTATGTGTGTTTTCCTGCCGTTAGATGTTCTGAGGTTTTCTGCAATCCTTCGAGACACAGGGCATGCTACCCATATCCTTCTACTATAATAAGTTGCATCTTCCAGAAGAGTAATGGTGGGGAGTGAAAAGATTGGCAGTGCTCTGTTGATTGCTGAGATGTGAATGCCGCCAACATGCCAGATCCCCGTCAGGACAGAGAGCAGCCATGCTGATCTGTCTTACTGGTGTAGTACGGACTGCCAGAAGCCTGGGAGCTCAGCTCAGTGCTGACCCAGACCCTTTTGAAGAAGGAAAGACTACAAAACCTGGGACAACAGGAAGAGTGTCTCTTCCTCCTACAGTGGGGCACTTCACCTCTGAAAGGCCTATCCCTTCCGTGCACCGCCGTACCCTCAGATTTCAGTCTTCCCAGCTCTGAAAACCATTGATCATACAACATCATGCTCAGCCTATGGGCTCATGTGAGCCTGAAAGGCACTGCCACGCCAGCACTGTGGGCAGGTAGAAGGAAGCACTAACCATATTACACCACTCTTTGCATCCCTGCCCTCTCTTGGTAGCGCCCGGTGCCTGTTCCGCTAGAGGGTACCCTCAGCACACTGGTACCGAGCCTGGAGCTCAGCTGGATGCTGTCCCTAATGAAACCCGAAGGCCAGGCCCAGGAAAGTATAAGGCAAACTTTACAGAAAAGCATGCTGTAATTTTATGACGGGCTTTAATTTGACTTTGTTCAGTCAGAGCAGCCCCCTAGGCAGGCTGGGACCGCACCACGCCGTGTACGGCTGTGCTTTCAACTAACAGCTCTGGCCTGAAATGTAACTGTTAGAGCCTCACGTGCAATCAAAGCTGCAAATGACCCTGGGGAGTAAATGAAAAACAGCAGGAGGCCCACAGGAGCTCATGTTTAAAATACATATTTAATTTTATTGGAGGGATAAGAGCAAAAATGTTCAGATCTGTAATATTATTTGTATTACAGCAGTGCTTAGGGGGAACCAAATGAGCACAAGACTGCCCTGCGTTAGGAAGTGGGCTGTCCTGCAGAACTTGCTATCAACATCAGGCATAATGGGGAAGGAAAGCAGACCAAAGAAGGACAAAGTGCCATCCCCACAACACCCTGCAGATGGAATAGAGCCAGGAGGATTCAGATCGCCCAGTTACCCTACCAGGTACCTTGTACTGGTACAAGGAGTACCAGGTACTCCTTGGCTCACACTTTCCCAAATGCTGTATGTGCATTGCACACCCTGGCTCCTTTGTTCTGCTTTTTCAGCTAGGATACAGACAGCTCTTCTGGAAGCCATGTCCCCCGCCACACAATTTCAGCCAGACTAAAGCAGATCACAGCAAAGAATCAGCATGACCAGACATTAAGCTATGACTTAGCAAAAAGAATCAAGTATTTGGAAATGCCACTCATTTCCACGTCATTGGAAACCAAATCCAGCACTGCCAGCTCTACCCAGTTCCTCGTATATGCCTTCAGACTGGTGGCTATGTCTGCGCCTGCCATGTTCTAAGAAAAGCTGGGAAGGATTCAATGATCAGTTTGGCTCCTGTAACTCACTGTGCTAGTTTTCATCCAGTTCAGGGCTGTCGTTCTGAAAATGACTGAACTTATGCAATTCCACCTCACTTCAATGGCAAGAAAGGACTCTTGGCTACTGTTCCCCACTCCTGGAACCTCCTTTTCCTGGTGTTGTCCAGACTGATATTAAGATCTGTTTTGCTTTCTACTAATCTGGAATCTTTAATTTGCATTCTTACACTACAAGCCACAGGAAAAGTTTTCCTCTCTGATTTATTCCACTAGCATCCACTTTTCTACAGTCTTTCCCTGCTCACTGCTCCTCAAACATCAGTGAAGATGGAACACAAAAGGTGGATTCCAGGTCAGTCAAACAGCACAATATTGTCCCAGGTTAGAACGCATTTTGGGAAAAAATAGACAACCATATCATTTAAAAAACCTCAACAGCCTCAAACCAATGAATACAACAGCTTCTGTGAGTATTTGGATTTGCTCCACACATATCACTGATACAAAGGGTTCACTTTATGAAGGAAATGTTAAGATGTGTAAGGGCCTGAGGTCCCTCACATCCCCACAGCAGATACGACAGAAGAATGCTTAACTGGTAGGGCAGCATCTTTCTGCTAAAAGATTCTGCTGAATCAAAACCCTTGGATGGGAAAAGCACTGGTTTCCTCTCAGCTCCCAGGGGAAAGGCAGCTTAGCCCAGGGTGGGATTTTGGTCAGCATCAGACACAGGCCAGCAGACAAGACACAACCAAGGGATCAGGGTGTAAATCCTACATTGGCAAAAGGACTTGGACTTGGGTCTTCAGCATCTCCCTGGATGCCCTACCACAGGACTGTCTGCTCTTCTGGCACCAGCTCTCTTATTTACTCAGCATTTCATAGAATCATAGAATGGCCTGAGTTGAAAAGGACCTGAAGCTCTGAACACTGACTTGAGTAGAAAGACAGGAAAACCTGTGTGCGGATACATCTGTCCTCATTGAGTAATTACTGCAGCCCCACTGGCATCTGCAGGGAACTTTTTTGTCTGAGAAAGGGATACAGGGATCAGAGCTGCAACACTGTGCTCGGCTGCTATAAAACTTGTCCAAAGGGAGTCAGTGGTTCATTTCCCAATCAAACTTTAGTTTTGGGATAGTGGTGAGGGGGGAATAACCTAGGACAGATTTCTCACATAAAATTATATGATGTGTTTTTGAATAACATGAATGTTTCTGATGTATGTGTCTATACAGCTCTGCCTGTAAAACACTTCAGGAGCCTCGAGCACGTGTTCTGACATAGGTGGGTTACACACGAACAAGCAGAGCAATGATTGCACAACCACACACTTCCCCAGTTTCTCATGGGTTGTTAGATATCAGAGAGAGAACCTGACTTTCCCTGTTGGAGCAGCACGTGTGTGCCTGGAGCTTTCCCCCTACATTGGTTGGACTGATTTACAAATGAATAGCAGATGGACAGCTGTCATTTCCCTGCTGATTCTGACAGGGCTGCACCCTTGCAGCAATCAGTGTTGCACCTTGGCATTCTTCTTACGATAGAAATTATTTGTTGCTGAATCCTTCGTGCTCCATAGCATCAACGTCATTCTAATTACCAAGGCAGCCAAGTAATATTTCTCTCCATTTACATATATTTGTAGAACTGTAACCAGAAAGAAAGCCACAAGTGACTAGGCCAGTAAACAGTGCAGTTTGCTGACTAGTGTTTGTTTTATAACCTTTGGCACATCTTGATATGTACATAATAATAGTTCTTAACCCATAAATAATATTTTACAGAGGTCACACTATAGTTATTTAAGTTCAGGGGTTTATTTCCCAGAATACTAAGTAGCTGTGAATGAATTATGTTTAGTCTGATCTGCCACAGAAGGGTCATAAACTTATAAGTTGTAGCAAACCATGGAATATTACTCCTGTATGTCAGGCAAACTGTAAATGTTAAAGAATAATGCTTGATAAGGGGAAAGTCTTTTTATTTTGTTAAAGTAATATACGTTCCTAGGGAAAGACTATAAAATTTCATGTTAACTTCAGTGACAATTTGGGCAATCTCTCCACACGCAGCTTGTGATTTCTGCTCATTGCATGGCTGAGAGGCTGCAAACTCCATCCTGAGCTGGGGATTTTTTTCATTCTTGGCTCCCTTTGGCTTTCAGTGTCCCAGAATTTACAGGAGGTGATCAGAGAAAATTTTGTGCCTTTGCACTTGGCTAATAAAAAGAAAAAGGGATCATTACATGTTACTGATGGCTTGTTCAAATGCCTTGGACAAAGAGAAGGCTACCACTTTCTTTATTAACTCTGCTAAATACACAAGGGCAAGGAGGGAAGAGAACGAAAGTAGGGGACTTTGATCACTTCAGAGCTTCTCAGGGTCACCTAACAAAGGAGAGTAGAGCAGAAAGTGGGGGTGAATTTTGAAATGAAGAGACGAAAACACTGCACGTTCTGGGAAAGATGCCTTATGCAGGCAACAGGAGATGAGGGCATACTTTTAGAGCAGAGGGATACTTACTAAGTGTAAGACCAGCTGAGATTAAATAAATCCAGCCAAGAAGGAGAGGAAATGTCTTCTGAGTCCTGAAGAGGAGACACAGACAGGAAAGGTGAGCGAGCCAGACACTTCCTTCCTTTATCCCACAAATGCACTGGAGAAAGGTGAGCGCTCCCAGAAATCTGAAAGGTTTTTAAGGGATGCCTTACTTAAGTCTTGGTTGGACTGGATGATCTTGTAGGTCTTTTCCAACGTTAGAGATTCTGTTACTGTGTGAAGTGGTGACAACTTCCCAAAACAGCAGTAAAGTGCAAACCAGGAGGATCAATAATAAAGATCAGATCATTCCGGTTGGCCCAAATTTTCCGACTCCAACCACTTCACTCCCACTGACTTCAGGGAGGCTTGCTGTGAAATTCAAGCCAGCCTGGAGACTTCCAAGAAGAGGAGATAAATAACAATAAA